AGGCATCGTGAGAGCATCACTGGGCATTGTGATAGGTGCAGGAGTGTGCAGGGACTTGTGGCTATAGCTTTGCCACTAATGCTGGATGGCAATTCTGAGGAGCTCTGCAGAGAAAACAAGTGGTGCTGATGGCAAATGAGACAGAAAGAAAACAGGACACACAAGACTTCTGGCAGTGCAGACCTCTGAGTATTAAGCACTGAGATGATTTCATTTGCTCCTTGTCCCACTTTCCCTTCCCTTCTTGCTTACTTGCCAGGGGGAGGAAAAAAGCACCTTTTTGGAAATTGCATCATCAGTCACATTGCAGGAGGCAGGACTGAGAGCACAGCAATGGCAGCAGCCAGGCTCCCCTGGTCAATACAAAAGCCCAATTTGCAGGAAGAGTTATCCCTGCACAGACCTCCTCTGCTCACACTCCGTCCCTCCAAGCTTCATTCTCCTTCATTGCTGCTTGGTGGCACTTTTGATCACAACCCAAAGGCTTCTGTTGAGACACCCTGCTGTACAGAGCACATCAGCTACAAGCAGCTACATTAGCTCAAGAGCTCATAGCTTCCTGTCAATGTTGGACTGCAAGGGAGAGAACTGGAATCACAGAACCATAGCATGGCTTCGGTTGGAAAGGACCTTGAAGACCATCGAGTTCCAATTCCTTTGCCATGAGCAGGGCTGCCAGCCACCAAATAACCACTAGAACTCCCCTTCCAGCCACTCCTTCCCTCCCCACTCCCCCATCCCTCAGCAGATGCCACATCCCCTGGTGCTGCTCAATATTATACACAGCAAAGGCTGACGAAGGCAAAGCAAAGTCGCTGGACTTGGAGACAGATTGTGGGAATGGAGGAGATAAATCCCAAGCACACAGCCTGCATGGGGAGAGGAAGACAAATACTGAAATAAATATGAGAAGAAGACAAATTTGGGCTACGGGGAGCGGGTGAGCCAGAGAGAGAGAGGAAATTGCACTAAAATAGACGAGGTTTCCTGGAGACAAAGGTAAAATTGGGAAAAATGAGATCTAAACTGAAGGGGGATAAATCACTAGGGCAGCAATGTCTGAAAATTATTGGGAATGAAGCCTTCCTGGTAAGTGAGACATCCCAGCAAGACAGATCTGCTACAAGCAACAAATACAGCTGTGGTGACAAGGACAGAGGCGAGCAGGGAACGGCGTGGTGAGCTCTGCCTCCTCCCAGAGGGCTTTCTGTGACCACATCCACCGTGCTTTGGGCTGCAGTTATCTCCCCAGAATATAAACTGAGGAATAAAATGATCTATGGTGAGGAGTGGGCATTTTCACATCCAAATTCTTCATTCCTGTGGAGAAATGCCTTGTCTGGAGTGCTGGGGCAGCATTCAACAGGGAAACATGCACGCTTATGAACTCAGAGCTGTTGCAGCCTTGCAAATGGATCCAATCCATTTTTGCAGCTGGTTTTTAGCCAAAATATTGCCTTTTGCAGCCTCTTCCCAAGAAAAATTCTATTGCTGAGTGATGGCTCCCAAAGCCATCAAAGCGTCCATGGAGGGAGCAATGCACACCAGGAGCGAGCGCTGCTAGGGGGCATCTTTTCTGCCCTGTGCCTCCTGAAGTTGGGCAGCATTTCTGCCCTTTCATTTGGGTTCCTCTCTTGCTCCTTATCTCAGTGACACTGCACAGATAAATAGCAGCACTAATCCTATATTGAGATCACAACACGCTTTACACTTCTGTGCTGCATCGCAAGCAAGGAAAGCTCTCCCCAGGCTGTAAGGAAGCAGCATGGGATTTTTTTTTTTAATTTTTTTTTTGTGCCAGGCAAAGCTGTGACATAAAGCTTATGGCTCGTTGCAGGCTTTTTCCACATCTCCCCCTCTTTGCTTTGGCAAGGAATTGAGTTTTCAGCTGGGAAGAGAGTGCTCTGTGCCAAACACACCCCCACTTTTCCAGTGGAAAAGCAGAAATACACACACTGGCACACTACAAATGGGTAGCACCGTTCTGAAGTGGGGATGTATTAAAAAGCCAATGGTTTCCATAGAGAAAATACTCAGATTTCACACCAAAACTTATTTCTTTCTCTTAAGCCTAAGGCAACACCTCTGCTCATTTGCAGCAGTTTCTGGCTGGCGTGGGGCTCTTGGGGCAGTTATTGGAGGAAATGTAGAAATTGAAGGGATCTGAAGTGGGATTTGAAACTGGATTCAGAGCTGACCTTGCTGATGCCAGCAGCTTCCTGGGGTGCTTGGGGACCAACTTGCAGTCTCTGTGTCCCACAGCCATCACCAAAGGCTCCCAATGCTGCAGTTTCCCATTCTGTGAGATGAGAAGGGGAATTTGCTCCTGAGCTGAGCACAGAGGAGAGAATACATTAAAAAAAAAAGAACAAGGAGATAGAAAAGCTGGTGTCAAAGCCCGTCTCATATCCTGCATCCATCTGGCAGGCCACTCTGATGTGCCCTCATGTTTGTACACCCCATGCCTGGAGTTTTATATATGCCTGTATTCACCCTGTTCTTGCTGCTTTCCTGGCCTTTCCCCTCTCTTCCACTCTCTGATTTATGTAATTTGAAGTCCTGGTTGGGAGCTGATATTATGACACGTCCAGACTTCAAAATAAACCTCCCTCTTGATACTGGGTTATTTTATTGGGTGCATCAAGGCTGAAAACAACCTCATTCATCTTAAGAAATGTATTTTCCCATTTGCTGTATAAATACATACATGTTTCCTTGCATTATTCACCTAGGCACAGCAGATAGATGAGCAGTAACAACGGTGCCACATTTTTATTTCTCATTCTGTAACAGAAAAGGCACCAGGGAGGTTTGTGGCAGGAGCTCAGCGATGCAGAAAAATGGGTTGGGGCAAAGGTGGGGAGAAAATTGAACAGAGGAGATATCCCACTGCCAAGTAAATTCGTCTGGGAATGGGGACAAGGGGGCTTCAGCCCATCTGGGCCATTGCCCTGGTCGGAGACATGGAGGAGCACAGCACAGCTGGAGGAAAAGCCAGAGGACAGGTGAAAAATAAGACCAGGAGGGAAATATAAATAGGCAGAGAAGAGGGAGGGATGACAAGAGAGGGGAAAAAATGAATAATTGAGAGTTTGTAATAAACACAGTGTAGACACACAGAAAAAATGCCTATGTGAAAATGTAATTACTGGCTGTATCAATAACATCAGTGCACAAGACCGGCTGCAGTGGGGTTATGACCAAAACAAGCTATAAGTCTTGTGGAAGCTCAATTCAGATGCACCTTAGAAATGATCTGTGTTAAAGTCTAGGCATCTTAATTCCCCTGCACCTCCATGGTGCTTTTGTGAAATAATAAAGGGGAAAGTCAGCCTCTGCTTACATCAGCTTTGAGGTCCATACCAGACTCCGAGCCCTGATAGGTGGCAAAGTCCTGGTTTGGGGATGCTGCAGATGGCTCACAGCCTACATCTACCACCCCAATGGTCAACTGCCCTGACAGCCAACAAGCCATCACTGGCCATCGTTGCCCAGGCATGCTCTTCCTCAGTGTTCAAGGAGACAGATTTCAAGTCATGCCTTGCCTTCAGGAAGCAGAAAATACAAAGAAAGTATTAAAACTCCCCTTCCTTTTGATCCCAAGATGACCTGAAGCACTTATCTGCTGTTTTTAAACCTCTGCTGTGGTTATGCAGTGGATGTTTCTTAATTGGACGCTGTTACTGATTCTAATGAATCCAAAACAAGACTTTCTTTCTCTTCATTAACTTCACACATGTATTTTGAGTTTCTCTTCATTGCACCAACAATCCTCGTTTACCAGCGGCTGCACTGCTGCAATGGGATACAGGTTTGTTAATCATATCCTGAGTGCTGGGATAGGAAAATCAAATTATTTGTCCCTAGGAACTCAGACCAGTGCTGCTTCAGCACTGCACAGCCTGAGCAGCCTTGTTGGCTCTGCAAATTCATCACCTTCAGGATAACTCAGCCTGGCATGTGGGTGTCCTGCAGCGGTTCCCAGCTGTGCTGGGTCTGGCTGGGAGCAGATCAGACCTGTGCTGCTCCATCCCATCTCTTTGCATGCCATAACCTGTTGCAGCGCTGCTCTTTCCTCACGCACCAGCCCTGCTTGTCCCCAGAAGTACTGATAAACCCAACCAAGATGCAGATTTAATGTTATCAGGAGATGCAGGGCATGTTTAGTAGGAACTTGAAGGATCATAGCAAGAGGCCTGGATGTAATCCAGGCTGCGGCGGATAAGGAACTGAAAAGCTGCCGCTGCTTCTTCTTTTCCTTTTTCTTCTTTTTACTTTTTTTTATTGGTTCAAGATTGCAAAGCGGCTGAGAGAGAAGAAAAGGAAACACGGGGACCTAGTGATAACGGGTGATGGACGTGATGCCGTATCCTCACCGAGAATACCAGAGATTGTAAAGCATTGAGAAATCAAACTGACAAGTGGGAACACAGGCTCAGCATAAGAAACGGCGGCTTGCTCAGAGCTCCTGCAGGCCTGGAGAGCTTTTCGGTCCTCCTCACGATGGATTAAGTGGATGTTGGAGATAGATAATTTTGAAGTCCCTCTGCAATGTGTTCTGGCTTGTCATATCCTCGGGGAGGCCTGGAGCCGGAGAGACAAGCACCCAGCGTGATGCTCACACACATGAAGCTCCTTGAAAAACAAGAGAGAAAAAGTGGTGTCCAGCAAGGCTGGTGACACCATGGAGCCTTTGGATACCTGGGCAACCTGAAGGATGAGTGGGAGCAGGGCATGATACCAGCTGGTTTTGCTGCAGGGGAGAACGTTGGCCTTGGTCAGTGAGTAGATCCAAATTCCAAGCATTGCTCAAGGAGCCAAGGAAGGTGTATGGGAACTGCTGCATCACTGCCTGAACCTCTGATTGATCACCTGAGGTGAGCCATGAGTCAGCCAGAGGAGCACAGGTGAAGGCAACTGAGCTGTGCTGCCGGAAGGGATGGAGCCTGGCTGCACCCCTCCTAAACCTATTTAAGAGCTGGCTACCAGTGGGGAAGGATCTTGTCTGGAGATCCTTTCTTCTGGTGTTTTTTGTAGGTGAGCCTAGCATATGGGTAAGCCTTCCATTTATTCTCTCCTATTATCTTAGTTCTCTCCTATTATCTTAGTCTACTTTGCCTAACTCTCTTATTCTTTCGTGATTATAACATCTTAATATCCATTGATTATACAGAGGGTTAACTGCTGCCAGTGAGTGCTGGTTAGAGAGTGGGATTCCTTGCAGGTGAGGGAAGGGGTGGTGCAGCAGGAAAGTGTGCAGCCGCCGCACTCAAAAGAGAACAGCAAACCCCTCAACATTAGGCAGGTGAAATTTTGCATGTGGGAAAAGCATCCCAATAACAAAAATAGAGGAGTTCAGTCTTCCTTCTTAATTATTTTGCAGTCTGCAAGAATCGTTTTTAGCCTTTCATACCTCCCCCTCTCCCTGTATCGCTCTCCTCTGCACAGACTGAGCTGCTTTCTGCTGCCGATTGCTGCTGCAGGAGCAGCTCAGAAAGGGCAGGGATGCTCTGCACGGAGATCAGAGCTGGAGACTGCTTTGAAAATCCCCAGGGCAAAGGAGAGGGGCAGGAATGTGGTGCCCTGGCTGAGCAGCCATAAAATTGGCCAAGAAATCTTAACAGCTTTGATGAAAAATGCCTTCCTTTACTTTTGACACTCCTGTCCAAACAGTGTTAGGTGTTGGACTGATATCACAGCTTCCACCTGTGGCAGCAGCAGGAATAAACATGCCTGGATAGATATTGTGTCCTCACCGAGCTGGGAGCAATGATATGGTATATGGAAGTTTTAATTTATAGGTTCAAAGACTGTGGATGCTGGAAAATGTCTATAACCCAAATGAGAAATAAAGATTACGATGTGAAAGCCCCATCAGCGTAAGTGGCGAGGGCTCATGCAGGCACACTTGTGTGCTCCAAGTGCTCGGCACAGGGACTAAATATTCCTGTGCCAGGAAGCCAGGTTTGCAGTAAAAGCAAACACATTTACAGCCAGCCATGTACATGCACATCCACAGACATGTGCACAACTTCTCATCAAAACCCTCAGGATTTCAAAGCAATAACAGCACTTATTTCTGGCTGTTTGTACATGTGTGAGGAGAGCGCTTCTGGTTTTAGCTGTTTTCTGCCAATTTTCTCCAATATTTGTAAGACATTGGTTCAATCCCTGTAAGAGCTGGGGGGAAGTGTTGAAGTACCTTCAAATTTTGATGAATGTGATTTTTTTTTTTGCATGGGTTGCATCCCATCCACATCCACAGCGGTGTCACCCAGTCAGGTCCAGGTCAGCCTGAGATGCTGATCTCCAATGACCCCCTTGAGGACTGGTGGGATCCAGAAAGCTGAATGGAAATGAACATTGCACCAATGAACAGGAAGGATAAATGAGATGACCTGTGTAATTACAGCCTGTCGGCCCAACTTTGACTTCAGGCAAAATAATGGGAAATCTGCTGCAGGATTTGTTTAGTAAGGAATTAATGGGAATAACGCAAAGGATGCCAATCAAGAGGGACATATGGAAGATAAATCTTGTTGAAATATATTGATATCTTTTTTTTGATGAGGTTAGAAATTTGGCTGATACAGGTGATGCTTTCATTGTGACACATTCAGGCTGGGTCCTGTGTGATATCTTGACTAAGAGACTGGGATGGAAGGAGGTCAGCAGGGCACACAAGGCAATGCACAGCTGGCAAGATGGCTCATCCCAAAAGGCACTTCTGGGGGTGGGAGCCCTCACAGTGAGTGCTGCATTGCTGCTGTTTGTCATTTTTATCAATGACCTGCAAGAAAGCATCACGTTGGCCCTGATCAAGTTTGCAGCTGGCACAAAGACTGGGGGAATGGCACAGAGGGAAAAGGAAAGGGCATCAGTATGGAATGCGCCTTACTAAAGGCATTCGGCTGGCATTGGAGAGGGAGGCCAGCAGGGATGGGCGATGGGGCTGATAGGCTGATGGACGAGATGTGGAGGAGAGAATGAAGTGTTTTTCAAGCTGAAAAGCTCCTTTTCAGCCTTCTTTTTTTTTTTTTTTTTTTTTTTTTTTTTTTTTTTTTTTTTTTTAATGAAAAGACAGAAACTCCAAGGAACTGCGGGGCCAATCCTTTTGCTTTTCAGTTCCTGTGTAAGCCATGCAACACCTGTGCTCCGCTCACAGGGTCTGTGCTGCTCTGCTCCCTTGCCTTCAGCTCATTTCTCACCCACTTTACAGGATTTCAAAGATTTCCAGCGCTTAGATGTTATTGCAAATCCCACAAGGCACCTGGCTGAGTCTTCAGGCTTCAAATGATATTAAAAACGTGGCCTGAAGTAACTCACCTGGGGCTGGGCATTGTGGGTTTGGTGCTTCTCAGCAAACCTGGGTGTGGGGAGCTGCAGCCACAGTGCAGCACATCCTCTCTGCTCCACATCCCTCAGCCCTTTTTGCTGGAGCAGCTTTGTCCATTCCTTTCCCCTCCAAACCCCTCCCCTCCTGCAGCTGGGTGAGGTTTTGCAGCTGCTTTCTGCCATCCCTCCCCTGCCAAGAGCACACAGCACTCCGGGCTCTCTGTAGTGAGCACTTATTGCTTCCAGAGCAGCTTTCTCAGCTCCTGCAATCCAATGCCCAAGAATAATGGACAGGCTTCAGCAGAGGGAATTTAATTCTGCTCCCACTCCTTTCAGATCAGAGCCTGTGTCAGCGGGGTGCTCTTACAACAAGGGACTTTATTACAGCTTATCCAACTCTTGGCAAGTTCTCAATCTGGAGAACTGGTTTGTACTACAGAGATTGCTGCTCTGTGTTGCATGCTAATGGAGATGTATAGCTGCACCTGGTATGTATGGGGAACCAGAAAGGAAGGGTTTAAACCAACTGGTGGTGGAAAAGTGGATCGCAAAGCTTTGTGCTGGTTTTCAGTCCTTTGGAATTGGAAGAGCAGCATCAGAGGTGTTGCTTTAGCTGTGGTTATCGAGCTGAATAACTCTTCCTCTTAGCATTGCTTCCACCCAGAAGGAAAAAGAGGAGACAAATTGCACCAGAGATGTGTGAAATTCCTCAGGGTCCTCTGGCTCTGGATCCCACTAACAGAAACGCACCATGAGACTGGTCCTTTGCTGGGCCCACACCAGGGGACAAACTTCCTCCTCCTTTTTTTTCCTCTTTTTTCCTGTGTTTTCTCTCTTTTTTTTTTTTTTTTTTTAATCTTCTCTTTTTTGGTCCTTTTTTTCTTTTTATTCTTTTTTTTTTTTCTTTTCTCTCTTTTTTTTTTTTTTTAATTCATTTTTATTTTCATTCACCTGCAGAAAAGCCCTGGGAGCAAACTGACCTGCAAGAGAGCAACCCACCTAAGCAGTAAGCTTGTAGCAGACCTCACATTCAGCCCCTCACACTTATTCCTCTCATCTATAGTTACAGTTTCCCTGCTTGCCATGGAATAAAACTCAGGAATGCAGTTTCCAGGCCCCTGCCTTGCCAAAATTGAGTGTGTTTGCCTCTTCTGCCCTGAGCGAGCATTAAACCCCCTTTAAGTTCAATAAATACTCCCCAGGCCTGGCCAGCAAGGTAACTGGAGGCTGCATCGCTTGTCACTGCAGATGACACATGCCTCTCTCTCAGGATGTGGTTTAATGAGCTTCTTCATGGTCTCCCAAGGCAGAAGTGTATTTATGGCACAAGGGGAGATTTATATAGTTTTTCTTTAAAATCTGTCAGCTAATAATAGCTGTGGCTGGGGCTGGGTTGTGCCGGTCTCGCACACAGGTATAAATCAAGGCTGTGTGCTCAAGCCCTACCATCATTTTCTCCCATTTGGAGACCGAGTAGATAATATTGTGTGCAAAACGTTTGCACCCAAGAGAGAAGGATAGAAAGACATTCCAGCTGAATTAGCAAGGCCCCAAACCTTACCTACATCCTTGCCTTTCCCTGCTGCCCCAAACCACCTGGACCACCACACTGCACACCCATCCCCTGGACCGGCTTGCAGGCCAGCTCTCCAAGCCAGCACCAAGGCAGGTTACCAGCAGAAAGAGGCTATCCAGGACTCATCTTCACCCTGCCAAGTGACCCAAATCTCTCCAGCCTCAACCAGCCAGCCAAGCCAATGAAATGCCGCTCACTGTCCCCTGGCGCTGCACAGCCCTGAATAGCACAAATGCCCACAGGACAGTTTTTTCAAACAAAACAGATGCACATTATTTTTTATCCAGGAGGTGAAGGGGGCTGAATAAAATAGCTAACAGGTACCAGAGGGACGAGTTCTGCTAATTCTGCTCATGATAAAGGTCTTTTAAAATGCCTCTGGTGCCTGAAGCGCTGATGAGACTCAGGTTTGCTGATTCGTGGGCCGCGGGCCAGGCTCCCTCTGGAGCCCATTAGATGTCCTATAGATAGGCAGCTGGATGCATGGCACATGGTGCAGCCACGCCAGCCACAAGCTGAAAAGCATTACTAAGCAAGAGAGATTTCCCATTTCTGACAACAGGGCCAGGGAGGGGGTACAGCTTCTGGAAACCACAGCAGATTAGCTCGTGGGGTTTTTTGTTGCTCTTCATACCACGTTAAATATTTTAGCACGGAGCTAAACAACCTGAGGAGGAAGAATCATAGAGCCACACAATCACACAACAGTGCCCATGCAGTGCTCGGGTTGAGAATGATGGGGACAGCTGGGCTGTGTGTGCTGCTCCCCATCAGCACTCTGCCCCACTGCCACCTACGCCCATTCTCAACTTTCCTGCTTACACCCAAAACCTCACGCATGCACCTGCAGCACAGGATGACATTTTTATGGCACAGATTTGTGCAAAGCCACGGTGAGAGGCTGCTGCCCTTGTGCCAGCAGGGCTCCTCATCCCACCCCAGGCTGCGCTGTTCCTTCCCTGAGAGACCAACCCAAGCTCGGTGCTGGACTGGGTAATTCAATAGGTTTGCAGATCTGCCTCGGGTCAATTTTAATTCTATTTAAAGGACAGTCGATCGAGCCATCTCTGGGGTTTTCTGAGATGGAATTTCATATTGTGTTTAATATGCGCTGAATGCACCGGCCAGGGGAGAGAGCACTTCAGCGTCAATGAGACATAAAGGATGGGATGGGAAGCGCTCTGCAGCCTTCCTCCTTTTCTATTTTCAGCTCTGAGGCCCTCACGAGCTGCACTAAGGAAGGCTGGCTCCACTGGGATTTATTGGAAGGCCCCCAAGGCACAGAGCAACCCCTGCCTGAGCCCTCCTAGCTAAAAGCACTCAGTGAGGCCACGTCACACCGCTGTGCACAGCCTTTGGAGCCAGGGGAGAAAGCCTGCAGTGAGATGGGGGTAACCCAAAGAGCACAAGTACTGCTGCATGGCCATCAGCCTCCGCTCCACCCCCACAACTACCATAAAGCAGGGGGTAATGTCACTGAGGAAGGGATGAAGGAGATGGATATTAATAAAGAAAGAGGGCTTTCAATGCTGCTGCTCATCTAAAACGTTCCCTTAAGTGCAGAACAAGACATTAAAGTACTAAGACACAATTTCCATGCAACTTAATAAAGGGGAAATGATATCACCGCTGGAAAAAAAATAACACAAAATACATACAGGGGAATTTGATTGTGTTGCTTTATGCTCAGATCAATCCTGAGACTGCACTGCACAAGCAAAGAGGTTATCAGCACTGCCTCCCACCGCTTGTGCCAGCATGCAACAGGAGCTCAGCCACAGTACTGGGAACAAACCCTTCACCCATATGGAAATATTTTCCCTACACACAAAGCGGGAAAGCAGTAAAAGGGGCAGATCTGAAAAGTAAACCTGTAAGAAAATCATCAGCGACGCAGCTGTAAGATAACAAAGGTGCACCAACAGTGAGGAATGAGCCTTCCTGCATCCCATCAAGGCGACGGCGCAGCAGGAGTTAAAATATCCCATGGGTTTGGCATCATTTCAACCCACAGAGGAGCTGGGGCTGCTCTCAGAGCTTCATCTGCACAGAGCACAGCTCTGAGTGAAGCTGTCCCTCCCCTGCTGGAGGTAATTAACGTATATCAAAGAGGAATTCAGCTGGAGTGGCTATTTCAGCAGCACGCAGCATTCTCCCCCAGTTTGGGTTTGTTTTCGAAATTGCACATAAAGTGCAACTGCGGCACATTTACTTTTCTATTATGCCTTCGAAATTAAGTTAGATGGCCCTAATAATAGCATTGCCTTTAAAATAACGCCGTGTTTAAAGAACAAACTCTCCAATGTCGCCGGCACAGCATATTTGTCTTGTGCTTAATTTCCACTTGCTGTTGTATTATTAGACATTAACATGATAGTTTTGTTTAATCTCTGGCTCCGTCGCCCATGGCTGACTCCAAACTGATCACTCGCCCCCGTTGATGAAAGTCCTAATTCATCCTTGTTAGTGCAATTAGGAGGAAATTGGATAACGGTGTCACTTGGCACTAAAGGTCTTGGAGAGGGTGAGTCTGTCCCCCGAGAGGTGACACGCTCAGCTGGATTACACAGCTCCCAGGGAGGCAGTGGGGGTGAAGGAATTGAGGCTTCAGGATGTTCACAGGTGGAGTTTGGTGGGTTTTGTTGCTCTTTTCCCCCAAGGCAGTGCACGGAGGGGCCCGTCCCTGAGTCCCAGCATCCATGCCCTGTGTGTATGGCCAAGCTGGTGGAGCTGAGGAGGCACGAGGGCAAAACCAGCCCTGTTTTGAGCCCATAGAATGAAAGGATAAGTAATATGTGAAAAGAGCAGGGTTGTTTTTTTCCCAAAGAAACAAATCCTCCACAACTTTCAGGAAAGGTTCTGCAGTTTGTGTGGTGTTTGCTCTCTGTGGACAGCTCTCACTCAGCCACGAACCTGAGCACAGAAACAGGATGAATGCTCTTCATTATGGCCCTGAAATTAACATACGTGTTCGTAAAGAGGTTCCCTCAGCCTCTGCACTTCCCAGCACAATTTCTTGAAGGCTTATCTCCCTTCATGCAGGCTTTTATGCATTCAGCTTGCAGGGAGCAGCTCCTCATCCAGGACCTAGGCTCTCTTTGGGTGTCCATGCAAAAAGCAAAAGTGATCATCAAAACTTAGCGATGTGTGTGTTGTGTATACATGTTTACGTATTATTCGTTAAACACAGAGCTGCTAAAGGCAAGAGTGAGATTATTTCCAACTTTTCTGGACCATTAAGAGTGTTGTGATCCTGATGCCACCTTCCCCCACAACAGGCACAGGTATTTCATGGCTGGGGAGTGACATCCCTCAGGCACAGCAAGGCTTGTGCTTCTTGTTTGAGGTCCTTGGCATTTTGGCACTGTCCTTCTGCTTCTATATCTGTATAGTGTCCATTGTGATGAGTCTCAGTGCTGTGATGACCACCTCAGCAGATGCAGGAAGCAGTCGGTACGCAGTGGGATTTCCAGATGTGCACAGCTGGAGGAGGCAGCCAGTGCCCTTGGCTCATGGTGCAGATCTCACCACAGCAAGCTCAGAAAATCACAGTGGAAACAATAAAAACAGACTGAAATTTACATGTACACCCCTCCACTCCACTTCTAGCTGTTCTTGAGCTTTTATATAAATCAGAGTTTATTCATACTTTCAGGTGGGCTCATTATCCATGCAATAACTTCAGCAATGATTCTCTAAACACTGAGTTGCTCTTGACCTCCAAACACTCCTTGTTTTTTGCTGGTGTTTCAGCCATCCTCTTGCAGGAAGAGGAAACAAGAAGTGCTGTCAGCAGTCACAAATACGCTCTGCTCAGCCACCCCAAAGTGCTTTTGGCCACACAGAAGTGCTGAGCAGAGACGCTCACACCGCAATCAACGCCTGCACAACACTGAGGGCCGTAGGGACACAAACACAAACCTGAAGGAGCACTCCTGGCCACCAATTCCCCTTCTCCAGGCAACCATGGGGTGAAGTCGCTCAAATAGTTAAAGCTAATGCTCTGTTTTTGGCAAGGGTTTGAGATTTCCAGCCCTGCTCACTCGAAGCACAGCTCCACAAGTGCCACCCAAATCCATAGCTCCGCCTCTGCCCAACCTCAAAATGATGGTTTGGGGCTCCTTTTGGAACTCTGGTAGAGAGGAAAGGCAGGGAGTAATACAAATTAAGAGCAAAGAGGTGAAACTTCTATTTGCACAGAGCAGAAAGCCTGATTTCCCAGGCAGTTATCAATCAGTAGGTAGCAGGGATGGGGCAGTTTTGGCACAAGGGCAGCTGGGGTGTTTTTCTTCCTTTTCTTTTTTTTTTTGCATTGGGCCCGCAGATGCATTAACAAACAGCTCGTTTCCAATGGACCTTGGGAGAATCAGCTCAGACTGTGAAGGATGGAAGGGAGAGACTTGTGTATGAATGTCTCATTGTCACAGACCTCTTAACCTCCTCTCAGTCTAATCCTGTCCTTAATTGACTGTATTCTGATTGTATTCTAGATAGTCTGCATCAGCCTGGGAGGATGCAGTGGGCAATGAGTGCTGTCGCTGTTTTGGAGGAGAGTAAAACACAGCAGAACAGCCAAAAAAGGGCATCTGCATCTGCTTGCACAGGAGCCTGCTTTTCCTAACCAAAAGGAGAAAAAAAAAATTGAAACTTCACAGAAGAGTTAATCTTCATGAACACAACTCACAGGCTACTGCTCCAGAATTTCAGCTGCCCGTTTAATACAGAGGAAGATGTCACTGTTGGGGATGGTGGGGATGGAGCTCAGTGCCTCTCCATCCATCCTCACCTCACCTGTCTGTCTGCAATCAGTGGCAGAGTGGAGGCTGTGGCTCTGTGAAGTGGCTCTCCAAGAGGCCTCACTAATTGTCTTGGCAGAAAGGAAGAGTTCCCCCCAGTGCAGAGCAATAAATCAGAGGCAGTAATAACTCTTTCCTAAATAATCCTCAGGCAGAAACAAAATCCAGCACTGAGAGCAGTACGGAGTCAAAAAGTGCCACCTGTGTCTGAGGGTTACTTAGGTCTATAAATACTGCACTCCTCTCCCGTGCCTCTGTAATATATTGCTGTCAATAACACGTTGGTGTCTGGATTTTTTAATGTTCAGGCTTTGTCTTCACGAGGCGTGATGCCATCCCCGGGGTTATGGGCTGAGCTGAGAGATGCTGTGAGATTCAGCCTTTGCAAATGGGTTTTTGCAAAGTTGACAAAAATGCCAACTTGTAAATGTCAATTTTACACTCATCTCCCGGGGAGCAAAACTCCCTGGTGGCACTGTGCAGATGCAATGGGTTTCCCATCCCATGCTACACCACGTGGTACTGTAGCAGAGAAGCTAAGTCACAGCCTGAAGCAGTGATGGAGCACCTGGTGAGAAGGCAGGGCCAGCCCAGAGCAGCTCAGGTGCATGCAATGCACTGAGTGATGGAAGGGCTGCAGCCAGGATCCACCCCTTCCCAGCCCTCATTTAAGGCTTGGCAAGGGAAGTAAGGGGATCTTGCTGGAGATCCCTATGTGGCTGAAGTCTTCTGCTAGTAAGTACCTTTTTTCCTTCATTCTTTCCAAATAAGAAGGGAAAGGTATGAGTAGGACTATTTGAATGCTTTGAATCAATTCTACTTACTTAGGAGCCGATAAGATTGATTTGCAAGGAAGGTAAAAAAGATACCAGAGCAGCTGTGTTTGATTTTTGGGGCTGTCCTTGTAGAGAATGCCAATGTCCAGAGCAACCTCAAGTTGTGGTCATCTGAAACTGAAGTATAGTAAGAGTAGCTAGGTTTGGGATTCTGGATCCTAAGCATCCCATCCTGAGCTCTCAGGTCAAACTTCCAGATATGGAAACCAAAATTCCAAGCTTACATCTTTGCAATAGCAAAGTCTGCCCCAGTCCTGCACAGTGTCCTCAGATCGCTCCCTTGTGGAACCTTCCCTGCAGCCCTAAATTTGGTCCTTGTGGAAATGTACGATGACTTGCAGCAGATTAGAGGGACTACAGTGGGTACGTGGCTCATGCCATCGTGTTCCTTCATTAGAGCATCATCAGTGCATGAGCTGCTGTCCTCCATGCCCAGAGTTCTGGGAGGCCACACAGCAAACTGGGCACACTTCTGAGAATGAGTGATTTGCAGCAGGCAGGGAATAAACATGTGAGCACTGCGATGTGAGTGGGGCTGTTATCAGCCTCAGCGTGGGACCCAGGACACTTGAGAATGCAAGGAAAAGGTGTCCAGCATAGGAAGGTGATGCATTTTAGCCCCCTATGGCAGAGCAATTTCCTGCACAAAAGCAGGAGGGATTTACAAGACACATATGCTCTATTTTTGAGGTCTCTGTCATTAGGACAAGCCAATGGGGGGTAATAAAGCCACGGGGTGAAGGAGCTGTTCCTACCCAAGGAGATGAATTCTCCCCAGCACTTTTGCCTGTGAGAGCCTCTGTGTGTGAAACGGTGGGCGCATGTGCCCATGGCAGCCACATCCCCTGCTTCGCTGCTTTGTGAAGAGCACTGGATTTTTAAAGCGGTTCCTCTTGGCAAGGGGCTCTGCTGGTAGAGATGAAGGAAGAAATGATCAAACCCAGAGGCTCGTACCTCTTGTCTCTTCCATTCGGCCCCTTTTGCAATGCGGTGGAGGAGCTCTGCTTTTAAACAAAAGCTAAACACTGTCAGTGGGAGAGCAAAGCAGGATTTCTCTGAAATGCAAATGCTTCTTTCAGAGCAGCCAGCTTTGAAAACAGGGATCCTGCTGACTCATGTTTAGAAACTGGGGAGAGAGCTGCTTCGGTGCTCTGTCTGCCCTGCTCTCATCTTCAGCCCCATCTCGTCCTGGGGATGCTTACATAAACCCCGGGGTAAAGCAGCCTGCAAGGATGAAATGGTGTCAGTGGGGATGGACCTGCAGCCCAGCCAGCATTCACTTTAGGAAGCCACGGACTGCCCTTCCAACAAAGCAAGAGCAGCACGGTGTAGGCACGGGTGAGGATTTACCAACGGGGCAGTGCAGACTTAAGCCTCCCACAGTTTGATGCATCAAGAGGATTTGGGGCCAGCTCTTTAAATCCTTTTATCATCTGCAGTGTTTTGTGTGTTTGTTTTTTTTTTTCCTCCCACCATCCTCTTTTCTCCTCCTGTTCTTTCTGCGCCCTTTCAGTCCACTTCCAGCCTATGAGTGCTGGGATCCAAGCAGGCAGATCCTTGTGCCTGCAGGTCTCATGCTATTTCCATTTAACAGCTGCTCCTGGCCTTTGCTTTTTCACGATGGAAGGAGTGGGACCCTGACCTGTGTGCTTACAGAAAGGTGAAGGAGAAGAAAGAGGGAGAAACCAAAGGAGGAGGTACAGCTCTAATGGCAGTACGTTTCTCCATCCCAAAGCTGTGTGCAGAGCTGACACCACTGTGCCACGAATGCTCTGAGCTCACAAAGAGCATGAGCAGAACCACAGGGGGGTATTCCTGCACTTCCTTTCCTTATGGAGTGTGAACAGAAAAACACCTGCAGGTGTCTCCTGTCCCACTCTTTTTCCATCAGTGATGGGCAGCTGCTGGTAGTGTTACACAAAGCCATTGCCCAGAGGCACAGGGTGCTGAGATGCCACCAAGACCCAAACCAGCATCGCTGGGGAGCGGTCCTTCCTGCCCAGCCCTGGGGTCTGAACATGTAGGGTGTCTGGAATCCAAATATGTAATAATAAGGGAAGCAATAATGGAAATAGTGCTGCTTGTGGAGATGTCAAGCTCCAGGGACATAATGGAAATTCAGACTTTTTTTTCTTTCTAATGCGCTTCTGCTCTAATAACTGCTTTTTTCCCCTCATCGCTTTTCATCTGAAAACACTGGCATGCTGCACCAGCAGCAGCTGATCAAGACTTCACACGTCCTGCTCATTATCCTCGCTTCACACAAGAGGAAGCGGGAAGGATTGATAGCACCCAATTTTGTACAAGTGTTGCCCGAAGTGAAATACCCGGCCATGTCTGCTCCTGCAACGCTGCAGCTGTGCCATGTCTGAGGCTGTGAGAGGAGAGACTTTATAGGGCCTGATAAAACCTTTTATTAGACCCACAGATCCAGCTGGAATAGGCAGACAGGTTGTAGCTGCGTAGACCTGAAGATGTGCCTATAGGCTCTCAGGACCCTGCATGCCTTCCCCGTTGCTGGAGGTGCTCCAGGCCAAGTTGGGCAACCTGATGTGGTGATTGGCATCTAGCCCACAGCAGGTCAGTTGGAACTGGGTGACCTTTAAGGTCCCTTTCAACCCCACTGTTCTGTGGTTCTATGATCCTTTCTCCATCTCCCCAAATCATGGAGATGCAGGAGATGGGCTGATGCCAAAGACATGGCCACCCTAAGGACCAGTGCAATGAGAGCTGCCTGAATCCTCCTCTTGCCTCTCAGGTGCATAAGAATTCTCCATTATAGAGTTTTCCTCTGTATCTGGGCTGCAGGTGGTGAGCAGAAAGTCCAAGGGCTGCGCAGTAGCTGAAATTTCATTCTTGCACCAAACTGTCCCAGCCTGACCCTACAGCCATGCGCACTGCAGAGCTCCCTGTGCAGCTCCTCTCCTGTTCTTCTGCATGAAGTCCCCTCAGGAATTGTCCCCCAAATTATTTGTAACATCACAAAGTGTATCAGTAAGATTCCCCCCCTTTATTTTATTTTATTTTTTTTAAGAAATGATTTAAGGGTTCCTCCTGTTAGCAATTTATAGTAATTGCAGTAACCTGATAATAATTCCTAGCAATTAAGCACAGTACTGATTCAGTCGTTTACTAAGTAATGTCTTTTCTGTATTTATGGGGGCTGTGCTGAAGTATAAATATCTTACTTTGTTGGTTAATAAAAATTTACTAAGTAGCATCCTTAAAAAATGCTTGTTCATTGTAAGCTATTCTTAGCAATCACGTGTGAATGAGGAGTAATTGCTTTACTTGGGACAGTAATTAGAAAGTATTAAGTCGTTGTTTTCCCTTCCTGAGTGGCTGCTTTGTTAACCATGTATCTGCTCTCCCAGTGTTAATTCTGCACCCAGCACCACTGGGGGAGATTTTTGGGCCCAGGGCTGCATGGCCATGGCTTGGATCCTTAAAAGCACCGAGTGATTTTTGAATGCTTACCGGGGGTGTTTGCAGGGATGTGATTTGCTGTGTGCTCACAGCAGGCTGTTCTTGCTGGCAAGCAGGGCTCTCGATGCAGCCAAGCATCTACAAATAGAAACTTCTGACCATCCTGCTCCCTGCCTGCAGTTTTTCCCATTGGTAAAATGAGAATAACGGGGCTCCACAGGGATGTGCTCCCAAAATCAAGAGGGCTGCAAAAATGGCCAAAGGGACTCAAACAGGACCGGTTTTCCCCAATTCATCCAGATGAAATAGCAGAGATGGGGGAGAGCTGCAGTGCCTGCAGGTGGCAGGAATGCCACAAACCAGGAGAAAGCTGGGGTTTGGTTGTCATCAGAAGAGGATCTCGTGCACAGTGTAAGACATCGGACAGTGCAGGTGATGCACTGAGCAGGTAGGATATGGGGGTGGGATCTACATGTCCTGGCTGGCAGCTGGGGGTGGAGAATATTTGATGAGTATTCAGGGGTCATCTCCATCCCCACAGTGTGGCAACAAGTCCAAGCAGCCACGTGCACATCTCCGAGCCCGAGCTCTCATAGGAAACTATTTGCATTTTCCCATCCCTTTCTAAGAGGTTGAGGATGAAGGAGCCAGCACGAGAGCAAGAAGCAGCTCCAGGGCACCCCGATAAATCCCTGCAGGGCTGGCGGCCAAGGCGCCTGCTTCCCTGAGATAAAGGGAATGCATGGCGCTGCGAGGCGTGGACAGTGGCTGAACACCCTGCTAATCCCTTCAGCCCTGACACGGCTGCTTGAGGAAGGGGCGGCTGCTTTGTGAGTGCCTTGTGCACAGGGAAAGGGAGAGAGGAGGAAAATGGGTTTTAGGATTCGTTCCCCAGGAAGAAGCGACGCTGCAGGAGGGCTCTGGGGTGTGGGCGCATCATTGAGGTGCATCCCAGCGTGGGATGGGGCTCCTGATGGAAACCTGGGGCAGCAAAGAAATGACTTGCAATATTGCAGCTGCTGGAGAAAATCACCTGAGGAATCAGAATGTTAAAGAACAAGCAAAAGGGGGGGGGGGGGGATGGGATGGGGAAGGGGGGGACAAGGGAAAAAAATAAAAGAGCTGTGACAGCAGCTTTATAGTCAGGAAACCCTGGGCAGGAGAAGGTAAGCAGGACCTCAGTGCCAGGCAAATTCGTGGTGAATGAACCTGTGGTTCCTGTGGGGAGTTCAGGTTTGAAGTGGACGCAAAGTGCTGGGCCCCAAATGCAGCCCCTGTGGTGGTTTCTGGCTGAGAAACTGTTGCTTCCATTGGGTGTAAGAGCAGCGGTGATGCAGGTTCCTATAAAATCTGGGAGTCCATATAAAGTTATTGCTCACCTCTGCTCTGGGAAATGAGCAGCCATCCAGCCTGCTGCAGGCACAAAGCAGTCAGTGTGTGCCAGCCAGGACTTTTCCCCCATGGTAAAAGAAGGGCTGCAATGTTCAAGCTGAATTAAAGACTCTGCCAAGTTTGCTGTGGGTCCGGCAGCACGCTGTAATGACAGCTCTTCTTTTAACAACCTTAGAAGATGGTGTCTGCTCGTTTCTTTCTGGCAATGAAATCTGAGTTTTTATGTTTTAATTTTGCTTCTCTTCCAAGCCTGTTGACTTTAATCTTGTCTTCAACTCCTGGGCTCTGTTACAGGAACTCCTCTTTACTTCTGTTGCAGGTTGCCAGCCCAGGGTGCTCAGAGCTCCCATTTAAGGCAGCAGTGCTAGGTTATATTCTGACCTACACCGTTATGCACCATCCACCAGTGCTGCATCACCCATCCTGCTGGCTGATGCTGAAAGGAAGAAGGCATGCTCCCAAGGGCTGGCATCTCTTCAAATCAGGGACTCCAGAAACCGTTGCCTCACTGAAGAAATCGCCATCGTTCTTCTAACTGGTTGGGTCAATACGAGGGTGTCACTTGGGAAATTTGGGGTTTATTGCTCCCCTTCCCACCATCAACTCACTGGGAATAAGGGAAGCAGGCAGGTAGATCCTCACTCAGAGAGCTGCTGCGGTGGAGGTCAGGAGTGTGCATGGAAAGGTGAAAAAGCCCATCGAGGTGGGGAGTGGAGACATGGAGGGCTGTCCTCCATACACACAGGGCTTCCAGGTCTGAAACACCTTGAGAAGAAAAAGGTGAATGGGGAAAATCACAGCTGAGGGAAACAGAAGTGAAAGCTGAACCCGAAGATGGAGGAGTTCAATAGGACTGGTCCCAGTAATGATGCCTGAGGGGCACCAGTGCCATTGATCTCCATCCATTGAGCGCTGCTCTCTGGTGGAATCTCACAACAGCTCCTCATCCATTGAACAGTCTGCCCATCAAAGCTGCACTTTTCCAAGTTAGAGAGAAGGATGTTGTTGGGGCTGTGCCAACTGCCTCACTGGAGCCCAAGCAGATGACATCAGTGGCTCTTCCATTGCCCGTGGATGCAGTTATCCCATCTGGTTGGAAATTTTGGTTTCAAATACTTCAAATTGAACATTTGGAGTTTTCATACCAAGATGACAGTTTTGGTCCAAATTGAATCATACTGATTTTATATATATATATATATATATATATTTTTATGCTAGTAAGTAAACCCTCAGGGAAATCTCTTCTACTCCAAATGTGGACTAAAGGAAATTGACAAACTCCAAATGCTTCTCAGGGTTTTGTTTCTTGCTGCTGTTTGATTTGCTATCACCAGTTTTGGATAAAAATGGGGTTTTATTGGTTATTTTGGTTAGAAATGCTGGAATGTTTCCTAGAGACAAGCCAGGCTCCAAGAAATTTTCACCTGGGAGATTATTGTGGAGTTCATTTTTAGATTATTTTCAGAAGAAGGTCATTTTTAGAGTTAATTCTGTATTTTTTTTTTGTTATTACTCCCCCTCTCCCCCTTTACTCAATGAGTCAGAAAGATGGAAGGAAGCCTCTTTTCTGCTGATCGAAAAGCCTTGCACAGCAAGCACCAAAGCCCTGGGCTGGGGTGCAGCAAGGGCAGGTGAGCACTGTGCAATGACCTCCCAGCCCGTTTCATGTTCTGGTTGGACACGTCTCCATGTAAAAGCTGCATTTGAAAATGAAAAGTCCAAGCATTTCATTTGGAGATACACAGAAATGAAGCATTTTGACTCTCTGTTCTTTTCCCTTTTCAACCCAAAACCTGCTCACCTCATTTGCCTCAGCAATGGGTTCAGCTGGCGTTTGCTACAAACTCCTTTCAAAATTCAGTTCCCCTGAGCCCTGGGGATAGGTTTGCTATTTCAAAGCCAACCCACTGAGGACCCCAGGGCAGTGGTTGCAGCAAAGCTCACAGCCTCTCCCCTTGGAAAAGCCTTCCAAGTGCAAGTTTTTGGTCTTCAGTGCAGCACAACAAGGGATGTTTTGGGAGCCAGCTTGTTCTCCTGGTATCTTTCTTCTCCCTGCCTCCTGCTGCCACTTCGTGGCTTTTATCTCTCTGCTCTCCCTCCTTTCATGTCTCTGCTTTGGAGGTGAGATGTGATTCTCTGCTCCCCTTTCCATGTGCCAAAGCCCAGGAGATGCACAGCAGCTCAGGGTCCTCCCCAGGGCTTTGGAAACTGGGAAACTGTGGGGATGCCTGTAGCAAGAAGGGCGAATATTCAGTGCACCCAGCATCCTCTGAATCCACTCATTCAGTCCCACACTCTTTTGGTGGAGTGATTTACGTGCTGCCTCTAGGAAGGCTGCAGAGTAATGGCCAGGACTCGGCCAATCGAGTACAAAGATGTGAATTATTCCAACTTTAGCTTGATTTGCTGGTAGCCAAGCTCATGCAGCCTGCAGGAAGAACTTCAGCACTGCAGCGTATTACCAAGTTGCAATAGTATTGCAATAAAAATATCATATTTGGTTGCAAAAATAATATGTACTGGGTTGAAAGAGTACTAAAGGGTTGCAATAATTGGGCATCACTGGGTTACAGTGATGTTGGGCTGCAACAATCATAGAATATCTCAAGCTGGAAGGGATCCATAAAGATCATCAAGTTCATGTCCTGAATAATGAACCCCAAAGTTCATTATTACCAATAATTACCATTTATTACCAAAAAGGCATTCTGTTCCCAATCCCTTTGCTTCCCCATCGCAGTTCTGCTCAGAATAGAGGCAGAAGCGTTTCTGTGTGGCTGGTTTATTCGGTGAACTCGAGCTCATTTCTTCATTTAAAGGCTCCTGGATGGTGTTTTTTAGGGCAATAAATTAAAGTGGGAACGCAGGGATTTGTACCCTTTCCCTCACAGCTCCTGCATCTTCCAGGAGCATCACCAACCAGGTTTGCACCAACTCACTGCACTGCATCCTTCCAGCAGCAAAGCTTTAAGGAGAAGGAATGAGATAATCCAGAGTCATGCAGACACTGCAGGAGCCAGGCCAGCCTCTGGCCTCCCCCCAGTCCCACTGCCCCCTTCCACGTGGTTTCCCAGTTCTGTGGGCAGCCAACAAGCTCTCAGCACCTCCACGCACATATGGCATCCCGACTCCACTGAGCACATTTTTAGGGCAAACTTCTCATCCCACTGCTTGCTTGACTCGAAATAGCAAGCTGAATTTGGGATGCAACGTGTAGTTGTTGGCTGGGGAAGCAGCATGCAATTAAAAAGGAGGGACTGCCAGGAATATTTCATACTGCGCATATGCTGTTTGCGATCCTGTGCGCACACTGAAAAGAAAAGAAAGAGAAAAGGTCTTCTGAGAGAGAGTGGAGAAGAAAAGAGCGATGGTTTGGCTTGCTAGGGCTATTTTGGATAAGGTGAAATGCCACTGGGTGGGAGATGGCTGCGGTGTACATCTCCATCTGCAGCTCCTCACTGAGATGGGATGCCTCACAGGCAGAGAGCAAAGGGGGAACTGGGGATTGCAGCAGGTGACACAAAGAGATACGTCACAGAGGGAAATGGACTCTGGTTTTGCCTTTCTCTGTGGCTCGATGTTGAGTCCACCTCTGCTCCCAGCATATTTTCTGCCCTGGCTTCCCACAGCCACGAGGGTTCTGGCAGAAATGAAAATGGGAACCCCCCATTTTGGGATGATTTTGGAGCCAACACGTCAGCTCAGCGTTTGGATGGCGCATTTCACACGAAATATGGAAATTTCCATTCCAGGAGGATTTCATGGTTTTGTCAATGTTGCAGCAGCAGAAGCTGGGAATTTTACAACACTGTGAAAGTAATGTCTGCCCAAAAAAATCTACTCCGAGTTTATGAAAAACGTTGCGTTTCCTCCAAATGTCTCTTTATTGGAAATGTGGCATGGAGGTCTCTTAAGAATGAAAACAAAGCCAACAGTGAAATAGAAAGGGCAGAAAATCACCTTTGGGGTCTGGGAGTGACCCAGGTTCGAGCAGAGGCGTCGCTGGATGCAAAACCCATCCAGCCTGCAGCTCCATGCACGGCGTGCCCAGCCGCAGGCTCAGGGGGACACGCGGTGATGCTCTCAGCTCTCACATCCCAGCCACCCAGGGCTGCTCACGGTGCCCATGCTCCCTCAAGCCAGGGTCGGGCTTTCTTCAGGCTGCAAAGAAAAGAGCCAAGGGAGGGAAAGAAACGCTTTGCAAAAGCTGTTTGTCCCCTCGGCTTTATTCCGGCTGCAAGTCAGAGCAGCTTGTAGCTCCAGAGAACTTTTAATAGAAATCTTTGGGATGAAATGGGCTACAGCTGTTTGCCTTGATAAATATATTTTATGCTACATGCCTCAGCCGCCATCTGTTTGCTGATATGAGCATTTCTCCTCTGCAGCAGCTGAAGAGAAGTCATCAAAGGGAATAGTGGGAGATGGGCTTAGTTGCAGGTACAGAGAGGAGGTGAAGCGGTCCATGCAATGAAGTTATTCCAGCAGCTTAAAGTGGCAGAGCTGGTGCAGGAACAAGGGCTGGGCAGGGTGGTGGGTGGTCCTGGGGGGGCCCGTTTTGATGCTGGTGGGGTCAGACAGAAGATTTTCAGCAGTTCTGCTGTTTGACGATCATTGAAAACTGCCACGCTGTGCTTTGGGGCATTGGAAATGCCACCTAGGAGATTTAGGCACCCAAATACAGGGGAAAACCCTGTGTGAAAAACTGCTGCACCACGAGCCATGCCCATAACGTGTGCAGTGGTGCAGAACCCCAAGAGCACTGTGTCCCAGCTGCCTTTCTCCCCCACCCGTAGCATCGTTCCCCAACACCCCGCTATCTCCCTCCCTGTTTTATAGACACGAACACAGACCCTGTGAGCGAATCATCCCGAATAGATTTACAGCCCTGCAGCAAGGCAGAGCCCAAACCATCCTCGATACATTGGTTTAACAGTGCTTTGTGCTCACAGCCCCAGAGCCCCTGCCTTGCTCCTCTCATAAACTTGGCCGGAGTGAATTGCGGCGATGTCCCTCACTGCTGCTGATCCTGCAATAAAACCTCACCCGACCCTCAGGGATGTGGCACAGCATCTTCCTTTCTCTCTGCAGATACCTGAAAACATCTCTCTGTTGTTGCTGATTCATTACCAGCAGGGCCTGGGGGGCCATTCAGTGACCTCCAGACTCCAGCAGTGCTATCAGAGCCTATTTCCTATTCCCTATTTCTATTCCCTTGCTCTCCTGTTAACACTCAGCCGTGGCACCACTACACTTAGCCTAGGTATGTAATAGCTAGCTGTCATAGGCACTCACATGCCTAGGTGACAGGTGCCCTAGCCATAGCGTGGCTTATTATTATGATTATTGCTATCATTGCTATGATTATCGTATTACTTTATATTGCCTCGGTGGCTCAGACAAGGTCAGAGCTGCAGGAGGGGCTGGAGAAATGATGGAAAAGGGAGGCCCACGCCCAAAGGGGCTTGATATTAGGCAGCAAGGCAGACAGGGGAGCAGAGATCAGCCTGACCTGGGCTGTGCCAATCCTGTCTCTCTTTCTTGCCCCCCCCCCCAGTGCTCGGAGGTGGCCAAGAGGAGCTGCTGGGCCACTGGGTGGCATCACCG